AGAATTTCCCAATTCTGTTAATGAGGCAAAAATATGGCATCCATAACAAAAACAAAAGTTAATTATCGCTCAGTACACATTTTTCCTCACATCATTTTATGTTTCATTGCCCTAAAATTTTGAAAAGCAAGTCTAATACGACTAAAAAATAGCATAAAACCGATTTCCTTCGAGCCTCTTTGGAGTTAAACGGAATTTACTCAATTTAAAAACGAATCCGTGATCGGCATAAAATTCTGCACACATTTGTTCATTTAACCATTTCTGTATCTCTTAAAATAAGAAAGATACCTGTATTGGATAATTAAAAAGTTGCAATCCTGTATATTAAGTAGTGACAATACTGATGGATAAATCTGTATCGACATCATTACTATTAATTATATCTCTACTAGTTATGTAATACCATTAGTGACTAACACAAAACGGCTAATTCCAAACAGAATTTCAGCTACTTTATATGAATATTTTGCTGACGGTATTGCATTTAAATCCATAATCCACAGAAGCATTATTTATATTTTTAACTTTAATAAGCCATCTCAAATGGAGCATTGCATTTCACTTGGGTTTGCAAGATGTGACTACCACCAGATCGTGACGGTCATTATATTTCAGTACTTTCACCTTTTACATAATTTATACATCTCTTGTTTATTTGTTGTTTGGGTTGCTAAATAATCTTGCTGAATATCTTCACGACGTCAAATTTTCATTGAGACGGCAACTGTGCCCATTACGAAACAGGTGCGTGACTGATACCTGTAATAATATGGTCAAAAATAAAAATGCAGATGTGAAAAGTATAATGGTTATGTAAGCGCTGTGTCACGTACCTTAGACATATATGGAAAGAGTGGAAAGTGCGAACACGTGCATGACAATCTATGAAAGAAAATGTTTATCGTTATTAGAGTTTTCTGTTGTATAGAATTTTCCAGCCAAGGCCAATTTTCAATAGTTCAACATTTAATAATATTAGCAAACGGGTTTTACAGAAGAAATAATCGAACATTGCTTAAGTATCAAAACATGTAAATACAACTGATAGTTGTATTTACGATAGTTTTAGGGCGCTTCTCTAATAACGAGCGTTCAAATAAAAACGTGGTCAAGTTGGTTCTGAAAATTTGGACGTAGGGCGTAGCGTATAGCAAATGAACTTAAACGTCATCTGTCAAAGCGCTATATCGCCGCTATCAATTTGAATATTTTCGTTTTAAAAAGCGTTTAAAATGGTGTTTTCTCAAGAACAAAAAGTGTTTATCATAGAGTCCTATTTTAGAAATGGACGCAAGATTGATGGAATATGGAAGTATTCTATTGAGGAATGTTTCATAGAATTTCAAAATCAATTTCCCGGCGTTGTCGAGTACAAAAGTTTTCAAAGTGCAGTTCAGCGTTGTGTTAATGTTTTTCGTGAAACGGGCAGTGTAACAAGAAAAGAAGGAAGCGGCCGACCTAAAAAGCGGACTGAAGAATTAAAAGAAAATGTCCAACAAATAATGGAAAATGCGCCAAGAACTTCTGTACGTGTTTTATCACAAATGGTAGGAGTATCAGTCGGTACCTGCCACACAGTGTTAAAAAAAGATTTGCGTTTGTTCTCCTATCGTTTAACTTGTCAGCAAGAACTTCATGAAGTTGATTTTCCGCGACGGGCTGTATTTTGTGATGGTTTTTAAACAACTACGGTGAACTTCATAATATCACCTTTTTTTCTGATGAAGCCTGGTTTCATTTAAGTGGTTACGTAAACTCACAGAATATGAGAATGTGGTCTTCTGAAAAACCAGATAACTTTTTTGTCGAGGGCCCTCTACACGCTCAAAAAATTGGAGTTTGGTGTGCTCTCAATCGAAGGAGGATTTATGAACCTAATTTTTTTAATGGTACTCTTACTGCGCAAAGGTATAGAGAAGAAATTATCGCTCCTTTTGTTAACCATCTGGAAGAAAACGAAATTACAAACTTTTACTTTCAACAAGATGGCGCAAGGGCACATACGGCAGGCGAGACGATGAATATGTTGAGGGAAGTTTTCCAAAATCGACTAATAAGTCTCAATGCTGAACATGAATTTCCACCGAGGTCATGTGATATTACGCCGTGTGATTTCTTTTTGTGGCCTTACCTTAAAAACACTATTTTTGAACTGCCTATTCCTGATTTAAACCATCTGCAGGCTCGACTTATAGACAAGATTAGTGAAATGAACAATACCTCGAGCATCTTAGAAAATGTCTTTAATTATTTGAGGAACAGGTGTGAAACGTGCTTGGAACAAGGAGGGGGACACTTTCAGCAGCTGCTTTAATTTATTGTTATAACAAGGAGGGGGACACTTTCCGCAGCTCCTTTAATTGTTTGTTATTGTTATCACGATTATTCTTTAAAATAAAGTTATATAGTCATTAACGTTATTGAAACTGACAGCTGCTATACAGCTCGTTGAGAAATGAGGTTAAGTTGGTCGCTATAAGCTACTCCCTACGTCCAATGTGTCAGAGCCAACTTCGACCATGTTTTTATTTGAACGCTCGTTATTATAATTACAGTTTGAGGAGTTTAGATCTAATAACTGGAGAGATCTAGCCTAAAGCGGATATTGCAAATTTAATAGTAGGGCATACATTCATTTTAGGATTACCACGGTTAACAACTGAAGACTGGATATTAGTGAGCCACTCTTGCACGAAATTTTAGTTAATTCCGTTACATGTTAATTTTATTCCCAAATAACATCCATTTACTCTTTAATCCCACTTACTTTTACAACGTTACTATTCTTACTCAGACTATACTTCGAGCAACTTTTAAAACACGAGATAACACTTCTATATTACACTGAAAACGCTGCTATTATTTTTCAAAGCGCCACCTATGCAAGATTATAAATACCGAGACAACTAGGACTTTTGTCAATTTCTTAACAGCGTATTAATTATTTTGTAACACAGTCTACAAGAAAATAATAAATTTGACGAACTAATCAAGGAATTTAGTCCAATTTTGAAGAAAATGTTGAAGAAGAAATGTAAGTTACAAAGCGAAATTATAAATCCAGTGAAGAAATGTACACAGTTGCCCGCGAAAGGCAATTCTCTCCTAGCCTCAAGAATTTAGTCGCCAACATTTAATGCATCGATATCATGGAGTGGAGAACTTACCTAAAACAGTTCGAGGCAACTGCTACAGCAAATAACTAGTCCGATAAGAGAAGACAACATCGTTAAGACAGAGTCTATTGAGATTTTAATAAATGATATTTAAATATAGGTAAACGAAGTGACTATCAAATACTGAAAGCTGATTTAAAAATGAAATATGGTGAATCTCTTCTACAACATGTTTAAGCCACAATTAAAGTGAAAAAGACTATATTTCGAAAAAAATCTGCAACAGTTTGAGATAATTATAGGCAGAGTTCCAAGATTGGACTGCGGTACTCAAAAACATCTTAGGAATTAATGCTGCAAAAAATTTGGAACGTATTCATTGAAGATGAATTTTTCGAGACAAAACGTCTGAATCTGGTTAGGGATGAGGCAGTTCAGTATTGGGGGTTATGAAGGATTGCAAAAAATGTAATAAAATTTCCAGGGTCGTATTTAAAAAAATGATGGTCCTGGAGAGACGAAATGTTACATAAAAAAAATTGATTATGCCATTCGATAGAGGGCAAAAAGTTGCCATGAGAAGGTGTCCTTCTTTTTTTAATATCACCTCAAACGAGGCTGAAATTAAACAAGAGGATTTCCAAAATTTCGTTTTTTTCAAATATTTCGAAAACTAATCATGTTAGCCTTTATTTTTTGGAGGCATAATGTTAATCCCACGATTACGCAACTTTGTCCCCATTTAAGATACTTCGTATCTCTTACCGTTTCCGAGATCCCTGTAGTGAGAAGCGAATTTGTAACAGCCTGTATAAGTACATATGAGGAGTTGATTTTCAAAACGCAGTTTTCGATTTTGGTTTCCAAAACGCATTTCTTTCGTATTCAAAAAAGTTTTAAATAAAATACCACAAAAAATATTTTCTAATGTCAGGTGATTAATACACTTAATTATTATTATCTTTATAACACCAACAATTTTTCACATATGATTATTACGTAATAATCTCAAAATGTGTTGTTTCAAAAACTGCGTTTTGAAAATCACCTCCTCATATGTATAAAACGTAAAATATATTTTTTAAAATAACAGAGTTGATAATATAATATATATAATTGGCAGGGTTCTATATTATTATCAGTATGAATAACAACTTGTTTGTCAATATCTTTATGTAAGATTAATATGTTTACTATCCTCTTGATGACCTCGAAATTTATTTTTCCATTTCTTATGTTTCTGTTGCATTTGGTGTGGCTAAAATTACTAACCCGTTTCACAACACACTAATATCTATATTTGTTTCTCAAAATAGAAAGATGAAATAAAAGTTGTCAAAAAAGTTTACAGATTTTGTTTGCAACTATCAATATTCTTATACTGCAATTGGTATGGATTGTTCCTTGGATCGTTTTCAAAATTTCAAATTAATAATGGAAAACTAAATTAAAAAAGACATCAGAACATCTTGAATTAATAAAGCCATTTCAGTTTTGCATTTATTCTTGGTGAAATGTGAATAAAATTAACATAATTGTGCAAAAGCCAACTTCCTCAGTAGCTTATTTTGAATTAATCAAAAAACTATAAACAAATCGATATAACTATGGGATCCAAAACAGCGCGAATTTAAAATTAAAATAGGTTATAATACACCTACGTTCATATTTTACATACATTTTGATTGATAACTCATTATAATCATCATCATTTATTTTGTTATAAAAGAGTTGTTCACTGTTCAACTTTGAAGAAAAAGTTTATATAAAACAATTAGATACCTAATGAAATAATACAGGCCATTAAAGTCTCTAACTTTTATTAATAAAGTATTACAAAATTATAAGTTACATTTGAATTGGTACATAGATTATAGAAGGAGCCTCAATTTATTTATATTTATTTATATACAATGTATTTCGCATTCAGTTTTATTCTAGTAGTTATATTAAAAAAAAAATGAACGACAATTTTTAACTGATCACAATCTTAAAGTGCATTTAAATTTTTTGGTAACCTCAATTCAGTTTTAGATTAACTCTAGAAAAATCTATAATTTGTCCTCTGCAAAACTAAATATAATAAATTAGGGAATTTGATTTTAAAGTGGATTTGGCAGATGTGTTATATTTAATACCATTTTCCAAAGTTGGGGTATTTAGAAAATCTAAACACAATTTTATTTGGGCTTAAAAAGGCAGAATATTCCGAAAATTTCTAGTAGCATCTTTCTTATACTACCCACTTGAAATATCTTAAAATTTGCTAGCAATTAATTAAAACAAATGTATTTATATGAGAAAAATATTTGAAACATAATTACTAGAAAAAATGCTTTTAAGATAATTGCATTCATTGCTAAAAACCGTGTAATTAGTATCATTTATTTTGAACTTTCCTTAAACCACCAGTATTCATGTACAGAGATACAGTCTCACTTTCAGGTGTTTCCCCAATCATCGATTCAAAATCGCCACGGCAAGGAATTTCATCATAGACTGGTTCTGTTTGTATAAAGATGGGTCTCTGATTGACATTTGCATCCAGGGGCTCAATTATGGACGCAGCTCTGTAACTCCCTGAAGAAGGGGGATAGTCGTATTCATAATTCTTGCAGTCTGTAACAAATCGGTTACTTTAAAATTGTCATGTCTTAATAAATAGTGGTTAAGATGTCGTTTGCACATTTTTTATTACTTCTTTATTCTGTGTTTTCAATCATTCCTTAAATTTTGATAGTTATTGGTTTTAAAAAGTAAGTAACAGCAGTATGAAAGCAGATAAACAAATCTAAAAAAACTGTCACATTTGACTTTCACTTTGATTAATTTTCATAATAATTCGGATGTTGATCTGCAAGATAGTGATGAAGAGGAAGATACGGAGACAGTTCTTTAGCAAACCTTCGACGAAATCGAGGAAGAAGGCGATGAAGTCGAAGAAGAGAACCCTATCGCGGATAACTTAGAAGAACTTCCCATCCATGAGGTTTTTTTGCTCAGTTCTGAAGACGAAGATCTCGCAAAACCTGGTCCATCAGGGATAGCGAAGCGAAGGAGAATGCACTAAATTTAGTTAACAGTGCATCACATGTGGATTAGGCCTACTGGGGATACCACTAAAAAAAAGGAACTCTACGATATGGTGGTGTGGAAATAAGTTTTACTGGCCAATACACCTGTTGGAGTAGACTTTGCGGCGCTCGTACGCCGAAACTATTCATTTCATAGAAAAAAGGTTAATACATAAATTATAGCAAATGTTCTCTAGTTTAATTTATTACATAACTATTTTCACCGTAAAGTGAATCGGAAAGGAAATATCGTCGAAAAACTGTTTTGGAGCGCCATTTTTCCAATATGGCGCCTACTTCCGGAAAAAAAAAGAGGTAGCAAAGTAAAAATTGGGAAAGAGCACGTCAAAATCTATAAATATACCAATTTTCAAAACTCCCCTAAAACTTCACAGGCAAAACTTCCAAATGATTGGACTATAACGAGAACATCAGAGAGGTTATCGAAACATTAACAACTAATACAAGTTGCAATCCGTAGTAAACAGGACTTTTTAAACATAAGAATAAAAAGTTTTTTTGGAAAAATCGATATATTTTATTCAAAATAGTCCCTTTCGATACAATACAGCGATTTGTATGATCTCAAAGCATGTCGAATGACTGTTTTAGATCGTCGACAGGGAAGTTTTTCAGGATGTAGGTAGAATTATTTATATTTTTCTTCTTCAAATGATCTGGGGAATCGTGTCTGTCATTGTATGTGTCCAGAATTCAGTTGGGATCAATTTAAATCAATCTTTGTGGACTTGACCGATGGTCATGCAAAGATTTTAAAAATTACATAAGATATTATCTACATTTTTACCTGGTTTGGTTTGATTGGACGTATTCATACTATAAACCGTACAAGTTTTAACTGTTGGTTCACTTAAGCAGGTTTGGCATTCCAGTGATGAAAGATATGATGGATTTTCACACGTTGGAGGATCTGGAAAATAAAAAAGGTCAAATTATTTATATTGTAGATCCTATTCTCCTTATATTTACAAAGTATTCTCAAAGTTTATATCGTAACATGAAGAGGTTGAATCATTTAAGACAAAAACGAAGACATTAATCAAGAGTTTAAAGCTATTGCCTTTTGAGTTACAGGGTGTTCAAAAAGTACATTTATCCAAATGTATATGACATAAATCAATGAAACTCGAGTTAATGATGTAATTAATTAGACACAAATTCAAGTGATGACATAGATTAGAAAACGACTGTAGAGGACCCTGAAGCTTAGGCAACCAGTTTTACAGACAATCCAAAAGTTAGATAAATATAACGAGATATAATTTTAAGCAGAAAAAGCAGTTTTAAATATTTTGGAATGTTTGGAAAGATTATGTAGAGAGTAATTTATTTGTCAATTATTTTTTCATGTTTCTTTATTAGAATACTGAAAATTCAAGATTAGTTTTCCATAGACTTGGGGTTTTACCTCCTGTGAGAAATGTTATTAAACTGATTAAAACAAGACAGTTTTTCATTTCATGGAAGTCATAGTTTCGAATGTTTGATTTCATGGTCGTCTAAAAATATTGTATTATATTCTTTTAACTCATTTTTATATTTTACTGAAAATGTCCATTAAAAGTGCATACTATAAATATATAGTATCATAGAACGGTAATATAATTCCTGCTTAAATTACTATAGTTCCTCACACCAAATGTAAGTAAAAAGGAATAACAAAGTACAGAAAGAATAATTTACACTTGGTGAAAATAGAGGAGGTGAAATTATTAATTAAGAATATCAATTAGAGAGGCATATTTTAGTAATCTGAATATTTTTAAGTGTGTCTTCAAAATAATTCTTGAAATTATAACACTGATTTAGAACTCACCTTTTGTAACACTGGAATCTGTTTAAAATAGAAATTATTGATTTAAATTACTTAACTTCAGATTACTAGACAATTTTTTAGAAAAGTAATAATAAAAAAAAGTATTGACCCCGACGTGATTTGAACACGCAACCTTCTGATCTGGAGTCAGACGCGCTACCGTTGCGCCACGGAGTCTGGTAAATATTATCTGCTCGTACACTAAATAACATCTGTTCTATTATCTATATTCTATTAAATGTCTTTTTATATAGGTACCGCCATAATGTATCATATCCAATATGATACGATAATTATTGATTTAAGTGAGTTCTAATCAAATTAAGAAGAAAATTGATCGGCATTTTTGGAATAGTACCCTCTAGTGTGTTAAATCTTAAATTTTGTGGATATCTAAAATTAGATAACTTTTACTTTTTGTAAAATATAAACATATGCAATAGATGACCCCACACAACACACAATACATTAGTGAGATGTTTTTGATTGCTATGTAGATATGGTTATGATGAAATGAATTTTTCTAATAAGCAGCAGTATTCTTAAAAGTATTTTTTCCCACAAAATAATGAAGATAAAACTCGACCTTGTAGAGAAATGATTAATAAAAAATAACAATTAACATTAAATTTTGTGTATACATTATAAAAATAATTAGTGAATACATATGATGAAATAAAATATAATTTAATGCCCGTCCTCACTTATTGTTAGTAACGTGTTGTAGTTATAAAACATGTTTTTATAAACGCCATATCAAATATGTCAAGGTATTCAAATTTCAAAATATAATAAAATTTATTTATGAACAGCATAATAAAATGGTAAATACATTTTATTCAGGATACTTTCCAAATTTTCTCTAAAATCATACTTATAAATTTATATATTTTTTTAAGTCATGTAAAAGAGAAAAAACTTTGATTGAGAATGTGGAATGTTATATAAGTTTTACAGTTCTTTTATGAACAAATGAAGATTTCCTTATTACAGTTAACCACGCGATTGATATCAGTTTATTAACGGAAATAGATAAAAATGACATCGATCGCAGCTCATGAACGTACGAGGTCTGTTCAGAAATTAACCTAACTTTTTGAATTTCCCGTTAACTGAGATATGTAGTGGTATGCTGTTGGTAGCATTGCGTTGGGTATAACCTACTCTGTAACCACATGTTCTTGGATTGTTGATATCTCAAGTAGTTTTCGAGATATTGTTATTGGAGTGCGAGGTGTTTCAGTGTTAGTGATGATTTTTGAAATGTGCGATTTTCTGGAACAACGATTGCGTAAAACATTGCGTGAAACTTTCACTAAAACTTTTGAAACAAACTTACGGAACTTTGAATCGTACGCAATGTTACGGCTTTTCACGATTTAAAAGTGGTCGAGAGTCAATCGACGATGATCCTCGACCAGGAAGGCTTTCGACTTCAACTGATGACTTCCACGTTCAAAAAGTGAAATATTTGGTGCGTGTAAATCGGCGATTGAAATTGCAGAAGAAGTTAGCTTCACAATTGGATCATGCCATCAAATTTAGACTGAAAAATTGCGTCGAGTTGCAGCAAAATTTATTCCTCGTTTGATGACCCAGCAACGGAAAGAAAATCGTGTGAACGTTTGTCGACAACTCCTTGGACAGTCTAAAGACGATGAAACATTCATTCAAATGATTATAACGGGATACGAAAGGTGGGTTAACGGCTATGACATTGAGACAAAAGTTGAGTCATCACAATGGATTGGCAAATGATCTCCTCGCTTAAAAAAAGCACGTCAGTCTCGATCCAATGTCAAAGTGATGCTCACTATGGAATTGTGCTTTTTGATTTCTTGCCTCAAGGTGAAACAATAAACCCTGTGAAAGATGTGGCGCGACAACTCATGGTTCTTACACCATGACAATGCGCCCGGACACTCAGCTTTGTCAATTCGTCAGTTTTGTGTCAAAAATCAGATTACTGTCCTCTCTCAGCCTCCTTACTCGCCAGACCTGGCACCTTGCAATTTTTTCTTATTTTAAATTAAAATCAGTGGTGAAAGGATGCCGTTTTTAGATTATTGAAGACATCAAAACTAATTGCACAGACTTTAAAAGCCATTGCAAATGAAGCTATTCAGGACTGCTTCTCAAGATGGAAACACCCTGGAAAAAACATTAATATATAAAATTAATAATACCTAAAGTTAAAAAAATAATGTTCAGTTATTTTCTGAACAGACCTCGTATAAATTAAATTATATTGTAACTAAAACTATAAATTCAAATGCAGAAATAACGTTATTACCTGGCAAAGGTGTATGGAAAATACTAGTAGTATAAACGGCTAATACATCATTCTTCTTGTTGTCCACTTTTTGTTTGTGTTTGTACTTCCTCTTTATTGTAACAATTACTAGAGCTAACAAAATTAGAGCTACTGTAGTAGCGGCAGAAACACTTATGCTGTTAAAGAAGTAATATTCTTTTGAAGGAATTTTGGTGGTGTCAGTTTTACTGCCTTCTTCCAGGTAATACTTTTCTTCCTCTGTCGTTGATGGAGTTGTAGTTTCTTGCATCAAAGGTCTTGCGATTTGATCGTACTGAATACCAACAGGGATTAGTGATCCTTCGTTATCATTTACTAAATTGTGTCTAACGTTTGGGTGGCCCTGTGTTTTGTTTTTGGTTTTCTTTAATGAGTCTAATATGTTTTCAACTTTTGTTTGATACTTATCCAAAGTTAAATTATTTTTTTTAATCGCTGTATGATCTGTTGGAAGTGTAGCGTAAATATTTGTGGTAATGGGTTCTGTAGTTGTAGAGAACCTATTAGATATAAAATTTGAAACAGTTTCCTCCCTTGGAGCAGATTTGACATTGTTATTGTACCAGTCTTCAACACTGTTAACATTTGTACTTACAGATACAGTTTCCGTAGTTTGATTAATCAATTTTTCTTCATAAACTTTTGATTGATATGCCTCTAAAGTTGTACTGTCATTTTCCTCGCTGCGAATACTTTTGTAAGTATTTTGTACGCAACTTCCATCTGTGGGGTTGCAAAACTCAGAACTGCAGTTGCATACATTTGTACAATTTTGTCCCCATAAACCTAATGTGCACCCTAATATGGAAATATTATTAAAAAAGTATAGTTTTAAATTTATTATTGTTAACTAAATTGTTAATAATATAGGTATATTTCTTTTTAACTCACACAAACTTTATGTCAATTACAATTAAGTATTAATATCTTTGTATACAGGGTGTCCGGCAACTACGGGGAAAAAATAAAGGGTTTTATAGAGCAGGTCAAACGAGTGCTAGTACTTCATATAAACTTTTTACGTAGGTGCCATTGTTGAGGAGTTATTGTCACTCAAAGTAAGAAGTTGAAAAATTAATATTGCCCATAATTTACTTTGATTAACTTGAAATTTGGGGGATCAAAGCAACTCATTCAAATGTATCTTTGTACATTTAAAATTGAATCAAATATTTTTTATTACACAAGGACGGTCGAAATTATGTTCTAAAATTTACGCAACTTTGACAGAGCGGTCAAATTTGACATTTCGCTCTCGCAGGCAGATAGCCCTGTTACTTTTCTACAAAAAAGGTATACTTCATGACTTATGAAAAAATGAAAGGTTGTCAAGATAATTAAATTTTTTTATTTTGTGTATAGCCACAACCGGGGACAACGCAACAGAAAAAAGTTAAGAATGAAACATATGGATTAAATGAGGTTACTTCAGTAAATGCTCGATATGTCCTCCATCTAGTTCAATGCACTTCCTTATTCTTTTAAGATTATTTTGTTACACTCTAAATAGCATTTGTGGATTCTTTTTAATTTCATTATAATGATGTTCTATTCTTGCCATCAACTCTTCTCTTGTATAAACCGGAGTTGAATACACTAATTCTTTTAGGTAACTCCACAAGAAGAAGTCAAGGGGGTTAAGATCTGGTGACCTAGGTGCTCATAAGTGTGGTCCGCCTCGCCCAATCCACCTATCACCAAATGTTGCGTTGAGGTAATTTCTAACTTCACGACTGAAGTGCATGAATCTCCTGTCTTGTTTGCAATGGCACATTTTCTAGTAGTAGATTTAGATCGTGTTGTAAAAAATTCAAATATCGGGCACCGTTTAGTCTATCCGGTAAGAAAAAGGGGCCTATTAATTGGTTACCGATTATTAATGAAATTAAACAAAATCCACAAATGCTATTTAGAGTGCAACAAAATAATCTTAAAAGAATAAGGAAGTGCATTGAACTAGATGGAGGACATATCGAGCATTTACTGAAGTAACCTCATTTAATCCATATGTTTCATTCTTAACTTTTTTCTGTTGCGTTGTCCCCGGTTGTGGCTATACACAAAATAAAAAAATTTAATTATCTTGACAACCGTTCATTGTTTCATAAGTCATAAAGTATACCTTTTTTGTAGAAAAGTAGCAGGGCTATCTGCCTGCGAGGGCGAAATATCAAATTTGACGGCACTGTCAAAGTTGCGTAAATTTTAGAACATAATTTCGACCGTCTTTGTATAATAAAATATATTTGATTCAATTTTAAATGTAGAAATATACATTTGAATGAGTTGCTTTGATCCCCCAAATTTCAAGTTAATCAAAGTAACCGTTTAGAAATTATGGGCAATATTCATTTTTCAACTTCTTACTTTGTGACAATAACTCATCAACAATGGCACCTAGGTAAAAAGTTTATATGAAGTACTAACACTCGTTTGCCCTGCTCTATATAACCCTTTACTTTTTCCCCGTAGTTACCGGACATCCTGTATATTATCTGTAAATTTTGAAATTAAAGACGCTTTGAAAATTTGTTTAGAAATATAAAGATAATATTAATTTCTAATTTGTATCATACCATTGAGTTATTTTTCGAGAATTATTTTCAAATATGTGTTCTATATGTTATTACAACTGATTTCTCAATGAGTTAGTAGTAATAATTCCCAATGTTTATTTTAACCAAAGATCTATAGGATATGAGGACTGATAAGTTATATGTACCTACTAGTGTCACAGTTTATTCCACTAAATCCAGGTGCACAGTGACATATTTCCTCTTTACAAATCCCATTTTGACAGTTGCCGCATTTAGATATACAATGATGGTCTCTTTGTATAAATCCTGGGCAACATTTTTCTAGTTGTCTTGTTTTATTTCTTTCCTAAAACATGAATATATTTTATAAATGGGAATATCCCGTTAATAAGAATAGAATAAATAATAATAACATGTTTATTTGGGGTATGTTTTTGATGTCTGTATTTATTTACATATTTACTACATCTTTTATGCATTTTTTATGAAGGGAAGAAGAAATACTTCGATTAAAACGTTCGGAGTAGTCGATTTGACCGATGCCTAAAAAAGTAAAAATTTTCTACCCTAATATCAGAACGTTATAATTACAACTAAATTTTTATAAATAACCGAAGATTAAAATTATATCTTCAAACGAAGTTCGAATTTACGGTCAGTTTCGAGAGAGGTTCATTTGTGTTTGGATTACAAATATATTTTTGGCAAAGATAAGCTTTTGTCATCAACCGATGAATGCAATGTTTTTGATTCTACGTAACGTAATACTTTTGTATATTGGCTAAAGAAAATGTCTTTGTTTAATTTCCTATAAAACTATATTTACACAATTTTAGCACATATCCTGCAATTTGGAATAGAACTAGTTCTAACTCATACAAATGTTTAAGAAGAGGAACTTAATTATTATTGTTTTTATTTTCAGATTGCAGATATTTTTATAAAGTAACATTTCATATTGCGTTTATTATTATAGAATTAATACTATCTTTTTAGATTATTTGTGAAAATTTCAGTAGATTTTGAAGACGAGTTCGTTGCATAAAAGTTAATGTCATTTTGGTACAAAGATTCTCTTCTGAAATGAAATTTTTGCAAGCTATCATGAGTGGATGTGGCTAGGGTCGATAATAAAAACAAGATAAATTTGCAAAAAGTAATTTCGTTAACGTAATTATTTTATTTGAACATATTTAGAGGCCATGTCGTTTTCTGGAAATGCCAGACTAATAAATGAGTGCAGTGGTAAATCACAACCAGACACAAAAATTATGCAAATTTATTATTCAAAAACGGGAGAAATTTTCGTTATAATTCCTTGAATTATCCTTAACTTAATACATGCAGTACCCCACAAATTCTGGAACGAAACCATAGACACCATAACTTATACACCATAGACACCATAACTTTTATATACTGGGTGTCTCACGATGTTTCACTTTTATATACTGGGTGTTTCACGATGTATACATACTGTAATGGCAGAGTGGGGTAATCTGGGTGAGTATGAAATGACCACTTAAAAAGTCTAGGGCAAAATTTGTAGACATACAGGGTGATTTTTTAATTTTCAGTAAATCTTATATTTTGGCTTTAATTTTGTAACCATTTGTGGGAATTAATTTATTTTATGGTATCACTACAGCCTAAGCAAGAATTCTAACATTTTTTTTTAGATGTGAAGAGAGAAAAATCATTTTTAGTTTCTCTTCAATTTCCAATAACAATTGTAATACACATTTCAATGATTTCGTAAACAATAGAAAATAACACTACGTTACATCTAATAATTTAACCCGATGCAAAAACAAAATTGTAATTATTTAAAAGTAAAAAAAAAACTTCAGAAAAATGTACAAAATAATATATATGCAATAATCACAATTACAATAGTTACAATTTCATTCTTATATCTTATACGAGAAAGAACTTTTGCCTAAACTACATGTAAAATGCAGTTTGCGTGCAAATATGTCCCTTCTCAGATGGCAAATTTTGATAATTCCGTACTGATTGTATACAGGGTGAATTTTTTAATTTTACTTAAGAGACAGTGATATTATTAGTACCACACAGAAATATGAAAATATTAGCAATAACTGTTTTTTATTGTTAATTCAAACGCTATGGTAAGTATGCCACAATGACGCTCCTGGGTAGACCCTATTTGGAACCCAAGGAGCTGAGAGAAGTATCAGCAACGAAGCTTTTGGACTTCGTTAAAAGCTCAAAACTACTTGCTGAATGGGAAGTAGTGGGACGCACAATAGGCCTAATAAGGCCGCAATGCCATGGGACTTATCAGAATCAACCACTAGGAAAAGAAGAATGCCACGAAAATTAAATGAATAATTTTTTTTATCAATATCAAAAATATGTACAAGGATGAACTTTTCGATGAGGATACAAAAGAATAGAAATTTTCTCAATTTAATACATGCAGTACCCAATTTAGTCCATGGAATTCTATCTTCAAATGCCTATTGGCCTTCAGTAAGTGTATCAAAATAAAAAATAATAATTCCCGCGAATGGCTTTTAAATTGCAGCCAAAATAAGTTTTTGTTAAAATTCAAAAATCACTCCATATTTTTTAAGTGGCGACTTAGAACTCGCCTAGATTGCTTCACTTTGTCATTACAATATGCTGTGTTCATCGTGAAACATTTTTTGTACATTGTTCAGAAAAATAAGAGAAAATTTTCATATTTGCCAAAATTTGTATATTTTCTGATTTATTGTTTTGGGTCTGGCAGTATTTTTCCTCCCATTTATTGGTATTTTCAGAAAACGATGTGTCAAATATTGCATGTGTGAAAAGTTTTTCCTAATAGAATTTCGAGATACATTGAAGTACATACATTGTATAAAAATGTTGTTAAATGGTCTTGTCCTGATGCCTGCATCTTCAAAACATGATGTTAGATATTATTACAGCACGTTCAAATTTAATTAGGAAAGGTTGTATTTCGTATTTAAAAATAATTTCTTTTAGCCCAACGAATAGTGCAGGAAAGAAAAATGAGCAACTGAGAAATGAATTCAAGTAGAACATAAGTTTATCTACGGCAAAGAACCATTGAATAAAAAATGTGTAAATATTTACTTTTCACTATTATTAAATATCAGATCCGCCTATGAAGAAAGATTGTATCAGAATATTTATTCAATTTTTATGTAAATTACACTACTGGGATTCTAGAAAATGGGTTTACTCAACATTACGAATAAGTCAATTATGTAACAATTTCGCAAGGCAATAATTTTTATATCCGTTGCTAATTGATAAGAACGTCATGCAAATAAAAAAAATATGTATTTCGGTATTCCCTATTTGACTCATAACAGTATTAACCTCAATATTGAAATATTTGCTGACACAAATAAAAAGTAAAACAACGCATCATTTTACTAATCGAAGGAAAACTTCACGTTTTAAGTAACAATTGATTTCAAAAACATCCAGGATAACTACATATGACGAAAATATATACAGAGTATTGAAAAAAGAGTAGACAAAATTGGTCTGCACGTAGTGCGTATCAAAATAGGAAAGTGTTCCCATGAGAATGAAAATGCTTAGAAAAAAGTTAGAAGGTTTAGCGTTGCTAAAAATGTATTTTTTTAACATCTCCAACATGGCTGATCAGTAACCAAACTGTCATGAAGGAATAGTTTTTGTTCACACACAGTGACGGAGATGCGTGGGTAATTGCAGGTTATTTATCCTAAAAAAATTTCGCGGTGTTTCTTCTGAAAATTTCTAGTTCTATGATAATATGTTATGGTTTTAACATTTTCTTCAACTAACACGTTTATCATTTAATGGAATGTAAACAAATCTCGATAGAATGATTTATTTTTATTTCTATACTATCGCCTAGATGATTTTTTATAGTTAAATACATTTTAATTGAATTTTCCTTCGGAAAACTAAAAAATTATTATTAAAAATTCATTAAAAATCATGCAAAGTTTATCTGCTGTCAAGAAATTATTCTAAAATCAAATTTATCTAGATTTATTTGTTTATTAGTATACTGGGTGTCCCTTAATTCGACTGCCAAACTTCTACAGGGTGTTTTCTAGTAAAAATTGACACGAAATTATCAAATAAACTAACGATCAGTTACGGCTCCTTATGAAAATATTAGCAGCTTAAAGGTGACCTGTTAACAATTTTTTTTTTCAAATACCTTCTAAATTACTTGAAGTATCACTACCAAATTTGGTACACTATTGATGACTTACATTTGACTTTGGTCTCATATAGAAAATATATGAATTTCAAACCGCTTATAACCACTCCGTTTATTGTGACCTACTGCTTACAACGACCTTGTATAAGAGATGTCTGAATCCAAAAAAAAAACGCGAATCGCACGTTGCATATTGCATATTCGTCAGATTTGCAGGAATGCCTTGCTTGGACAAAGTATGTACTAAAAACTTGTCCTTAGAAAGATATAGTATGGATCAAAGCTTTAATAAATATTACATTTCCTAGATACAAAATATTTTTTTAATGGGACTACAACGATATAAGTTGGATAGGCCTATAATAATAAAGATATGGCCAAAAAAAGATTATTGTTAGTTTACATTTGTGTCATTTACCCATGAAATCTTATATCGCTGTAATCCCGATATAATGTTTTAACCAAATGTGTAAAAATGTAGAGAAATTCTTTCAAATTATTACTTCTTTTAATTATGAAAGTAAAACAGGTGAAGAGGGTAAAATTCTACTACATGTAGGTATATACATTTCATATTGCTTACATCGCATCGTCCGTTTAATAGAATTTCTTCTTATCTTTAAAATAAATACTGGAAAAAATTTAATTGTTGATATTAAATTGTACTTAAATTTCATCACGTGCAATGACCTTTTATTTACTCGTTTTGGCCAGCTTTTCATAAAAAAATAGTCATTTGCACTATTATATTTAAAATACATTTAGGTGATGACGGTTCACTGTAAAAAAATCGATGTGAAAGCAATAAAGGTTCATATCCAGATGTATTGTCTTAGCGTGGTAGATGACAGTATGGTGTACGATGTGCTTTGGAGTTGGACAAGTATCGGTTTATCTGGTTATTCTAGTGAAAATTGTATTTAAATGCAATGATTTTATTACAATAATTAAAGACAATATATTAAGTCTCGATTAATATTTGGATAAATAAACGGATAGTTAAATTGTTATCTATGATTACGTATTTGTAACGTACAATATAGTTTATGGCAATCTATCCGTTCGATCAGTTCACCAACTCTTTTAGTCGAGACCTAAAATATTGTCTCTAAAACAGGTCTGTGTAGGAACCACTGCGGTAGCAT